TATTTAGGAGAAAGAAGAGGAAGTCTCCTTCCTAAATGATTCAGACTTCTCTCTCAGAGTTAAGAGGAGTCTCAGTAGATAATTTTGTCCTTCACATTAAGTACCTAGAAAATAAAATTTTATTTAAACTATTCAAAAATGATAAAAATCCATCTCATTTCCAGATGACCCATAACGAAGATTTTATGACTACTAGTAAAAACGTCAAAGATCTTACTGTGAAATGAAAGACATTCTTACTGTCATTATATTCATCCTTAGCGAATCACAGATTTAAAGTTTGTAAGGAATTTAGAGATTGTAGAACATTTTCCCACTGATTTTTAGTTCCTTGGATGTTAATATTCAGATAAATTAAAACTGCTTAAAATTTTCAGTCAGCTCAACACTTCAAACAGAATTCCCTTCCATTGTTTGACAGCTCTAGAGATAACCATAACTCCCCCTCAGCCTAGCAACATTAAAAAATGTACTATTAATGCAAAAGAATTTTAACTTACAGGAATGTATTCATTATTTATTTATTTATTTATTTATTTATTTATTTATTTATTTATTTATTTATTTATTATTGCTCGTGTATAATAGCATTTGAGCAACTCCCAACTGCATATATTAATCCACTTGGTACTCAAGATTATTTACCATCTTCTGAATTTATTCACAGAATGAGAAGTCTAGATTTTGTAATACCTATTTCACCTAAACTGCTGAGAAAGCTTTAAATTCCACTTAATTTACTCTTCATATTGTTTTGGTTCCTCTATAAGATTCTCCTTATTTGCTTGACTTTTGATGAGATTTTTATGATGACAATGATTATAATTATCATTCTATTTAGGAAGCATGTAATGGTACTTAGAAAATTTAAAAAATGCATCCTTCAAAAGTCACAGATGAGTTTTTTAAGTGTATCTTTATAAACTCATTTTGATCTTAATATATTTTTGTATATCCATCTCTTGCAATTCTCCTTCCAATCAACTGCACAAAATAGTATGAGACAATCAGGGACATTTGAGTATTTTTTTATGATATTAAAGAATTATGCATTTGATCATGGTATTTGATTATGTTTAAAAAACTAAAGGAGACTGAAACAAGGTTGAACAGGTGCTATTGATGGCAGAAGATGCACTCATGGGTGTCACTCACTATGTTTTATAATCTTCCTATTTTTGTATATGTTTGAAATTTTCCATGCCGAAATATTAAGAAAATTTTAAATGCATGCACTCTTTCAGTTAGCAATTTTATTTCCAGGAGTTTATCCTAGAGATATACTGGCATTTGTGCTAAAAATGTACTTATGAATACATTCAGCGCAATAGTCTTGCAATATCAAAAGATTAGGAAGTATCTAAAGGTCCATCATTAAGGGATTCCTTACATATATAAGGCTTATCCACACACTGGAGGACCATACAGTCTTAAAAAAAGAGTGAAGCAGCTTTAGATATAAAATTAGGAATGATTTCCCAGACATGATGTTAGGTGAAAAAAGCAAGGAAATCAATTTATGTATCTATATCTCATGGACTGTGGACATAAATTAGGGAGCACATAGTCACAGGTATTGGTGGAAGACATTTTGTTGTCATCAGGAAAGCTGGTGTGAGAACTAAGTTGACATCAGGGCAGAGCTGAGAGGATATCAACAAAATGGAGCTATTTTATTTTTCAAGTCCTTTGGCTTTGGTTTTCTGCACTTACAACCCAAAATAGTACCCAGTGGATACATGGTTTAAGAGGGCTCAGGGGTCCCAGGAAGGGATCAGGGTTGGAACATGGCAAAGACATGAATAACCTCTTCCAAAACGTGATGAGTGAAGGAGAGATACTAAAACTATACAGTTGAGGGCAGAAAACATGTCAGAGCAAGGCATTTTTAAAAAGTCCTTTTAAAAGTCACTAGCAAAACCCTTCAAACAAATCTAGAATATTCAGATGAGATATGTAAGATTTCTGCCTGATTTTCTGTTCTAAAATACACCCATTTGTTCAAATGCCCAGGAGTACATTCTGATATTTAGAACACAGGGTGTTGGTCAGAACTGTAAGCACTTTTTTTTGAAAACATAGCAAAACTCTCCTTGTCTAATTTTTGTTCTGAACACTAACTGAACCTGGGTGTGTGTGTTCATGATTGATAAACCACAAAGAATTCTGGGCCAAGTTTCAGGTGAAACTTCTTTTTCCCCTCTGGTTTCAAGTTAGGCAAAAATCAGTGCTCCCAGTCAATTAAAAGTGGAAGCTGTTGAGGTCAACTGACTGGAATTCTGATATAAGATTTTCCAACCCTGCAGTCTAAACACTGAGCTACATAGAAAAAGCTCTGCCATTCATATCATACCATCTGGTAGCATAATTCTCCACAGACAAAAGGGCTTTGCTTTATTTTTATTTGTAAACTAAACTTTAAAGGAACAAAGTGGAGCAGGTAACTCACCACTGCTAAGAAAGCATAAGGCAGTAGGCTCTCAAGATCAGTCAGCAAGCCTTTCGAGTGCACATTTTAGGTAGTTGAAAAACAGTCATTATTTGTAGGGCTTGTAGACTTCTTAAGTTGGTCTCTTAATGATAAAAAAATGTCCATGCCTCTTATTTGGACTATTGATTTCTATGTGCTCCCAAGAGAAATAAAGGAATTCCAAATACAGTTCTTCTAAGAATTCACCTAGACCTTTAGAGCCTCTGAATTGAAATTTTTCTTTCATTAATCAGATTCATTGTCCAAAGAGGGCTTGGTTCCATGATGATTTGCAGAAGAGAGAGACAAACACATTCATCTCTGACTGCAAAAACTAAAGGGCAGAAGATATAGAGAAGACTGTATCATAGATGCAGGGCCCAGATTCCTACCAGGATAGGGCCATCTTGTCCCTGCTCCAAAAGACTGAGTTGTCCTGAGAACTAGGTGTTTGCCGAGGTCAAAAAACATATATCTATCTGTGTGATGCATATCTACATAACATCACCTGTGCAAAGAAACAAAGCAGTGCAGCCACTACTTTTTTAAGCCTGTGGTTCTCAAAATTTACAGCCATGAGAAACTTCTAAAGGCCTTGTTAAAAAAGCTAACCCCTGGATAGCACCTCTAAATCTGATTCAGTAGGTCTGAGGGGGGCCTGAAATGCTGCACTTTTAATAGTGTTTCAGGTGATTCTGATACCAGTGAACTGATATCTCTCTTTGAGAAACACTGCTGCAGACTGTAGGCAGCTCTAGCCCCAGTTATATTATGGAATGGGAAATGCTGTTTCACTTGGCATCATCCTATCTTGAATTCCAGCACTCTTGGCACCTACTTTTTAAGAGGTTAGTTTCCTAAGAATAGAGGCAGACAAACCTGGATTAATGGCTTGGCTCAGCCTGTGCTAGCTGTGTGACCTCGCATCAACTATTTAACATTCAGTTAGTCACTTATTCACTCAACAAATATGTATGAAAATGCTGGGCATGAAATCTTAAACATGAAGTCTCATGCCACTTGCCTTAAATGGAGGAGGCAAACAAACATAAAGAAAGAAACAAATAAGTAAACTTCAGAGACTGGTGGTCAGGACTTTAAAAATAAATTAGAAATGAATGAAAATCAGTCAATACATAATAAAAATAGAGTATGTACAAAATAAAACAGGAAAGTGAGATGGAGAAGGACCCAGAAAGGCAGGCTGCTGTATTAGGTGGACAACTGAGGCCTCTCAGGTGAGTCGAAACCCAAGAAGAGTGAAGGAGCCAGCCACGCAAAGATGGAGAGTGGGGACAGGTGCAGGACAGCAAGCCCCAAGGTCATCCTGGCCAGTCAAGGCACGGGAAGAAAACCCAGAAGGTGGTAGCTGGGCTGGCAACAGGGAGAGTGCAAAGAGAACTATCAGGACAGAGATAAGGGGTGAGCCAGATTACCCAGGGAGTTAGAACCACAGCAATGTGCTCAGGTGCTTTTCAAATTAAAATGGAGAGCTGTTCTAGTATTTTAACTACTCCACAGTCTCTCTTTGTAAAGTGGTTAGCGTAACTACTTCATAGGGGTAAATCACAGAGTGCTTGGTTCTTAGTAAAGGTTCAATACATGGTAGATATTGCTGTTCCTCCTGGATGAGAAACATGCTGCTGCTTCATCATTCTTTGCTCATCACTGTCATATTCCCCCTACAGGGCATTTTACCTGTCCTGTTTCTCCTCTTGTCAGGGTCAACAAATAAGTCTGAGAAAGCTACTTCTGCAGCTGTGTGGGGTAGGGGAAACTCCTAGAGATTGTGTGCATGGTAAAGATGGCTTCTCAGAGGCTTACAATAGCCCTGTTCTCTCAGAGTGGAAGAGACCATGAGGATCATTAGTTTTCAACTGAAAAGGCCATCTAAGGGTCTAATAGCAACTCCAAAGTTGAAAATGTGAGTTGAGTGTCTTGGGTAGGTAACAGACCCGCTGGCCCCGAGGGATCTCCTGAACCCCACATATGGGTCAGGCAACAGTAGCATGGTTTGCTTTGTCTCCCAGCTTGGGCCAGATTAATGATGTCTTGGTTTCATCTTCTATAAAAACGCCTGTTTCTAATACTATCTCATGTTGTTATTTTAAGTGAGAATTAAATATGATTGATCCAGAAGACTCATTTGTGGCTCAAATAATCTATACTCAGCCAACAAATATCTTCCCATCACCTGCCAGGCATTACATTTATTTAGTATAGGGGTTTTAAATTTTTTTTTTTTAAGGCAGAGCCAACTTTCTTCCAACAAAATCTATCAAGGCAATCCAACAAGTGAAATGGGCCAACCAACAAAAAGTACCTTTGGTGAAAGTGAGCATGGTTCTCCAGCCTGAAGTGGGCCCCTTAGATTGCCCATTGCTCTTCAGGATCCCTGAAGGATTTGGAGGAATTTGAGCATATTTGAAAGCTAGTGTTCTGGGTGAAAAGATTTAGAAGTCCTCAGATGCTGACAGAAAATAGATTACATTTCAAATCCTTTAGTGTTATCACTGAATGTGCCTTTTAGCCAAAGTTCTACAGTCTACGGCTCACACGGCAGTTCTGAACCGTCTATCTCTGAGAAGACCCACCCCTTGCCGTCACTCATCACTGCAGCCTCCTGCCAATAGCACCTCGGACATAAAGGGACCCAAAGTCCTACCAGGGGCAAGGTGCACAGCTCCTTCACTGATGTGCACCTGATGCGGGCAACCAGCTCCTGATACACCCCCAGTGAAACTGGACAGATGTAAGTATGTTAAAAGATAAACTGAGGCATATTAAACATTTTAAGAGTTTATTTGAGCAAAAATTGATTTGAATCAGTCAGCACCAACCTGGAAGTATTTAGAAGCAGAGGGAAAGACTTTAAAGAGGCAGAAGCGAAGCAAGGACATGGTTTGGTTGGTCATGGCCTAAGTGGTTGCCGTATTTGAAAAAGCCTAGTGGGCTGTAATTGGCTGTCCTTAGGTTTTGATTTCTTAACCTTATTTTTTGCTCTTTAGGCTGCTAAGGCAATAGACCCACCTTAGTCTAACTGCCTCCCCATTTAATTAATTTAGCAAATAGGATCATAGGAAGTGGAGAGTGCTGTGAATTTTAAAAGTCCCTGGTCTCCCATGTAACAATAGTAGGACGGGTGGCAGTGAATGCCAGGGTTCTTGTTCACAAAGCCGAAGAATGAGCTTCACAAACACTCAAGGCAGGAGAACAAGGTACAGACTTTTATTTAGAAATAAAGTGAGAGGAAAGAGCTCCTGGCTCACGCCAGGAGGGGACAAGAGAGCCCATAGTGGTGCATTGTCTAGAGGGTATTATAGGCACTTCAGGATTTTTCGAGAACATCAAAAAAAGGCTTAGGGGTGTGGACTTGTACCACCTGCCCTGTCCTCAAGGTGGGCTGGGTCTTAGTCTGATTGCTAGGGCTGACAGCGGGGTCACGGGTTATGCTGATACCCTTGCAGAACACTCAAACATTCCAGGCCAAGTTGCTCCCTGCCTTTTGACCTCTAACTGATCTCACTGAAGATGTCTGTATCTTTACCCTAGAGAATTAGTGTGACCTTGACTTTGTATAATGCTTAGCACAGAGTTTCAGTAGGGACTTCTTTGCCCATTGTTACATTGCTCTGACTGTAAATATTCCGCCCTGCTTTTCCGGGAGGCCCTCACCCTACTCTGTCTAAGCCCATGGTCCCTGTCTCAGCAGGTATCTGAATTTCTCCAACTTGGCTGTTTTCTCTTCTATAAAAGAGGGTCAGTGAATATCACCTTTCCTACCCAAGAATGGTTAACTAGTCACTATTTAATAAATGCTAGTTTCCCTTTTCTCTTTTTTCCTTTCCTTTCCTTCCAGTCACTCAGCACAGCGCTTCCTTTCTGGGAGCCTGAAGGGATGGGCAGACATGGGGAGCGCTGTGCCCTGTTTGGCAGCTACACATACCCACTGTTTATCCATGTAAGTGTTTACCAAATTCAAGGTAGCCTTTTAAAAAAATATTTTTTAAATGTATTTGAAAAATAAAATTTATTTCTACTCATGGTAAAGGCCACAAAATAGATTGATATTCAGAGGTCCTCTGACCTAACAAAAAGTGGGAATAGCTTTGATTCGTAAGGACGGAACCAACGTGCCCCTGCAAAGCCCCGGCCCCCACTTCAAGCCTGCTGACTTGGTTCCTGCCCCAGCCTCTCTCCATCCCTCATTATAGGTTATCAGTGGGTAGATAGGGACAGTAGCTCTGCTTGTCTTCCCTTTATCTGTGCAATTTCCGGGCTTCCACCCTCCCCTTCCCTGTCCCAGCCTCTCTGGGTGTTACCTGAGCCGCGCAGCTCAGGAGGGCGGCAGTAGGCCGGCCGAGCCATAGCCACAGGCTCTGCGAGGGCGCTGGCCCTGCGCTGTCCGGAGACACCGCGGCTGCGTCTGATTGCTGGGGGCTTCCTGGTGGCCGCGCTGCTCATCAGCCCCGTTTGTTTTTACAGGCCGCCCGAGTCGACTTGGCGGTTATTTTCCTTGCCTGCGAGGCTCTCCAAAGTTGGTCCTCTCTGGGCCAGGCTGTCTCTCCTTTTCTTTTGAGACTTTCCGGGAGCTAAATTTACACTTGATTAACGACATTGAGTCCAAGGAGGGTCAGGATACTATTCTCCTGGTAAATGGGGCTGTTTTCTGGATCGGGCTTTGTTTTAAGACACAATGACACAATAGACGCTCACAATGAGAGCCCTTCTGATTTTGTTGCTGTGAGAGACAAAAAATAAAGTGTTGAGTTGTTTGATTCCCATCCCATTCGTGATGAAAGGAACGAATACTCTTTTTGAGTGAATGCAATATCTTGACAGATGTATTTGATAAACATCACAAATACTATTAATAAAAACATTTTGACTCTTTACTTCTGAATAACTTCTACTTGATATTTGGGGCCCAGCTTGAAGGAGTTGCTCTGGGAATCTCCCTGACTCCTCAGATCCATCAGGCCCACAATTAGGGATCTCCTTCCACATCTAGAAACCTTTCATTTCTATCATTTTCTAAGGCCTGGTTGAGCAATTATTCATCACCTTCCTTTCCTAGTAGACTGTAAACTCCATGAGAGGAGGTAAAGCTTTTTGGGCACAGAGGTGACTGAATATAAATATGGACAATGGCCAGACCACCTATGACAATGGAACTCTGACCCTCAGCCTCTGCAGCAACCAGTTCAGGAAGTCCAACTGCAACCTCCTGATCCAGAATGGCCCAGAGTGATCAGAGAGTGGTCAGGTGAGGTGGATGACTGCCATCTTCTCTAATTTTGTTCTCACTTCCAACTCAGAACAGTCCAGAGAAAGCAAACCTATCATATAGATGCCTCAGTCCTACTCAGCCCACCTCCAGCTTCCCGATGCCAACAACCTCTAATCAGAGTGTATCTGTAGTCTTTCTGCTTTCACATTCTCATTCCCTGCATGCCTTGGAGTCTCTACTAGACACAAGTGATGGTGACTTACTCCTTTGCTATAGCAAATTCTAAACAAATGGCCTCTGTTTGTACTCACTTGGATTGTCTTCATATATTTCCACATAATATTATTCTTATACTGAGTAGCAGGCACTCAGGAAAAATTCATTGAATGGATGGCTGAATGAATGAATGAATAAGTACCCACCCAGCCATTACTAGATTAGAGTTCAGTGTTCCTGAACAGGAAATTCAGTAGCCAAGAGGAACTGGGTTTTTACCTTAGGTCTTTACATATCTGACTTGTTGGTAGTGTTGGAGAAGCCACTCTGTATGTTTAGGTACCATTTTTTCAGGCTAAAAACCAGCATGTTTGGACTAGATGTTCCCCATGTTTCAAAAATCCTTCATAAAACCTCTCTCTACAACTATGAGCTCAGGACACCCACTTGAATTTCCCCAGATTATGCTTAAAGAGGAAATACACTCAGTGCTTTCTCTGATAATCCACTTCTGTTGATTAATGGTAGGAAAGAATAGCTTTTAAGAAAATGAGTTTCTTCCTCTTGAATCATGACTTGGTGAGTCATCATGGGTGCAAGGAAATAGAAAGATCATTTTTATCATTATTGATTTGCTAAAGAAATAGATCATTTTTATGGTTATTTATTTATTTGCTAATGATCCTGGGGAAAGAATCATGTTCTCATGCTGGAAGGGCATGCAGCTAAATTCTTCACACCTCTGCCTTCCTTCAGCTCATTCCACTTGGGTAGGATCCTCCCCCTTTACCCCAACAGTGCAGCCCTTCCATCTTTAAGGCCTACTTCACATTCCATACTCAACATGAACTCTGCATCAGTATGCTTGTCCCTGATAATCCGCTTTCTAACTTCCTGTAAAATATCACTCAAAGTTCATATACAATCTTTCCAACTGGATCATAAATTGCTTGAGGGAGGTAATTACATTTTCTCTCTCTCTGCATTTGGCCTAAAGCCTTGAAGAAGTATAAAAGAAAGAATAAGTAACATTGGATGAGTTAATACTATGTACCAGCTGTTTCATTTCTGTTATGTCTTTGAATTTCTGCCTCAATTCTTGGGTAATGGTTATTCCATTTTATAGAAGGACAGGCTGAGTTTCAGAGAGAGTAAGTTCTCTAAGGTCACATGGGAAGCAGTGTTGCATCTCAAAGCCAGGTTTCTTAACTCCTGGTCCTGTTCTCTTTTGGTATCTCTACAAGGTCTGCTGTGTGCATTACGATTCCTAAATCAGTTCTTAGGTGCTCACTGACAAATTCAGTTTAGATATGGAGCATGGTAGCAAATACAGACTGGAAGACAAGTTACAAAGTTCCAAGTTCTATTTTCAAAATTTCAGTTAATCACAGAATGTTTTTAAAAAGTTTTCCCCAGAGCTTTTGAATTCACAGGTTTATACCCTTTTGCATAGCAGCAATAGTCTTTGTCTTTATGTATTGGGTAATTTAAATATTTTGAAACTTTAACTTAATAGCTATAAGGCCAAAAATTAAAAACTGAAATGGGCAAATCAGAAGTGATTTCACTGCAGTGGGAGTTTAGTTTAAAAATTAATCTAGTAGATCCTAGAAGATATTGTCAGCTCTTATGCTTTTTTCTCTTTTTGCCTCCATAACAGAGATGTGAAGTTGAGCTATAAGAAAACTCAGAGGGGAACAGATTAAAAGTTTCATATAATTCAACATGGTAAGTATTGTTAAAAGCATATATTCAAATCTGGAGTGTGGAGTTAGAATAATGTATTTATTATCACTGGTGATCCTTTACTAAAGCAATAATTCTAGCACAGGAATATGAAATTTAAGAACCTGAGAAATTTAGAGATACATTTAGAATAGAGTCCAGAAATGTTTAAAATGATCAAAAATGAACCTGGAAGTCAGATTAAAGCAATCAGTATTATTTGGCCTATAGAATAAAATCCCACACCTCTGACTGAATATGGTCTCCAAGAGTATCAAAGATAATAAATTACATAATCCAGAGTGACTTTATTTCCACTGAAGTTTGCAAAACAAAAGAAGCAGGCTTACATATAAACGTGTCTTTCCCTGGCTAAACTCCCTAACATGTACTTTTCCTGGGGTTCCCATCACTTTCTCTTTGTCTCCTCACTCATCTACCTCTCTCACCTCCTGATACTATGTTTTATTTACCTTCTATTCCTTACACTTGGAAGGGATAAAGGGTACCTCTAGTTTTTGCCTGTTCAATATCCTTTCCCCTTTCGGATTTTCCCCTGGGGAGCCATTCCTGCTCTTCTTTTGGTCCTGATGGCATGGTTGTGTTAGAGTGGGTAGATAGTTGGACTTGAGCAGGAAAGGGGGAGGGGGACTTCAGTCGGATGCTTGCTTACATTCTACACATTCTGCTCAAGCTGTTCCCATAGGATGGAGAGTAGGGGTACAGGTGATAGACTGGCCAAAACTGGCTGGTTCCAACATGGAGGAGAAGTTGGCCCTGACTTCACCTCCAGAAACCTTTACACTCATTAACATAGTAAAAATCACACCTCCCTCACTATGACAGTTCCAAGGAGAACCAAATATAGTCAAAAAACTCCCTGCCCAACATGAGTGTGTGAGTGTGGAGCAAGCCCGAACTCTAGGAAGACTCCACCTGTTCCCTTTGAAATCTAATCTCTCTTAGTGAATATTCACCTCCCTTCATATAAAAAAGGCTCCCTAATGTTTCTTCTGTGCAATGCCTCTGGGTCTGCCTGCACACCAACTCTCAGGGGCATACTCTCTCCTTTCTCTAAACTCGAATTCTCGAAATAAACTCTTAGTGCTCAGTGGATTTTCTGTGTCCGTTCTTGAATTCTTTCTCACAACAAGACCAAGGACCCTGGTCCTGGAGCAGTAGGTCTGACCTCACGACCAGCTCTGAGGAACCCGGCCATTCAGTTGACCAATCAGAAGATTTTCCTCTACCAGGACAACTTATGAGTTTAAAAAACAATATGTAGCCCAAGTGGGTCTAATGAAAGTCAGTTCTGGGACTTCCGTTGGAATGTTTGGGAATAAGAAGCTCTCTTTCTTTGGGGTTTGATCCTGGTAAAATACAAACTTGGAATTCCTGGAGACATCCATACAGAGAGAACTTGTTTGAAATGAAACCAGTTGGGAGGATGATAGAACTGAAAGATACGAAGAAGCCAACTCCTGGCCATGGTGTTGTAACACTTGGATCCAGCCAACTTCAAGGTAGTCTACCTGGACTTTTAAAACTTTGAGTTTATAAGTTCATATTTTTACTTCATCAAGTGTGAAGGTGAAGATGATTCTTAAACTAAGAGAATGATGATAGAGATGTAGGTAGGTAACCAAGACAATCAGAATAATAACAGTGGCCAGCTGGGTTTTTAATTGTTTAATCTGTTCTAAGCCTGGTTTTCACTCCACATGGTCTTCTTGTGTGGCTTTCCTACCCTCACAGCTTCAGTGGCCCCCTATGACAGTGACTCTATTATCCATCTTTTTAGGTCAGAACTTCTCCAGGTCTGCACATCCAGCTGCCTGCTGGCTCCTTCATTAGGGCCTCAAACTCAACATTGTTAAAGTCACTATTTCCATTTTCCTTGAACCAGTACATCTTCTTGTCTGCTCATCTCACTTAGAGACCAGCCCCAAGTCAGTGCTCCCTGGCTGAACTATCTCCTCATGGGAGGATGTCGTGTTTCCCCTCTTCTCTTCACCTTGTTAGCCCTGTCCCAGTAGCATGGGGGTTGCTTAATTGATGCTGCAAAATTGTTTTGCTGAATAAGATTGTTAACAAAGTGAGGATGACTAAGCGATTATGGGTAAGACTTCTCTGTCATTTAGCAATATCAATAGTAGGTCTTGACTGAAAAAAAAGTAACTAGAGGACCTCTTAGAATTATTTCCAGCAAACCAATGTTTAAAACAACAACAAAACAAAACTCCTTTGCTTTGTTTATCAAGCATCACAGGTTGATCTATGTTTTTCATGGTGTAAAAATTGTTTTTCTTTTGTTTATTTTTTTATAGGTAACAACTGTTTTTCTTTTGTTTATTTTTTATTTATGATATATTTAACAAAGTAAATCAGATGCCTAAGTGCCTGACTCAATGCAGTTGGCCACAGACATCTAGTCTATGTACTTGTTTCATAGTCCAAAGATTTTGAGGTGTCTGAAGTATAAATAATGCAATTCTGATCACAGTTGTTCTGAAAAAAACATTTCTTTCATAAATAAACTAGGAGGAGACACAGGAAACTAGAGGAAGTAGACTAGGATAGGAATAGTTGAAAAGGCTGTTGGGAGATCTTAGTCGCAAATGACAAAAGACTGCACATCAAAATGTAAAAGAAGACAATACTATATAAAGAGAATTCTGAAAGAAGAATAAAGAAATTATATTTTAGGGGAAGTTCCAGTTTGATGAGCATTTTCTAAAGTTTGATATTCAGTTTACTCTAGAATATAGCATTATCATATTTTTGTATAATTTATATTTTCATATATAAAAGAATGTTCAGAGTATTGTTTTAATTGCAACATTATAATATGTTAAGACTGACTTCTTGATTTATCTATTTTGCTTTCTCATTCTAAATATGTGTGAAATGGAAGGTGAAATGAAAGCAGGTAAAGGATCAGAGGAAACTTTTAGATTTAAAAGATAGTAACTTCTTCCTAGGGCAAGTTCAAAACTTCTAGATATAGGTTGGAAACACTGCAATGTCAGCTACTCCTTTGTACTCATTCCCTGCACAATCTTATGCTCTTTATAAGATCCTTTCTCAGCTGGCACACTGTTCCCCCAACTACTTTAACTCAGGGCTCTGAGATGCCAGTGATGGCCACCTTAGTCCTCTAAGTGGTGCTGGATAAGATCACCTGACAGATGTCATGCAAATTTCTTCAGCAAGTAGCCACTTTCCAAAAAGACATTCATCAAGCCTTCCATACACAACCTTAAGATCTAGCATAGACCTAATTATCATATTCCTCTTGCCATATCTTTTCTGTAGGACCAAGCTAAAATACAGTGCTTACAATCAACAATGATCTCTCCAGAATGCTGTATTTGACCAAAACACCTACCATCACAGAAATATGTGGTGGTTCATTAAAAGGACACAAAGGAGAATTACTATTTAACAACCAGGAACACAAATTCAACAATAAATTTTGCTGAAGAGTAGAACAGGGTAATTAGGCAAAGGTCTCAATGAAATACAAACAATTACCCAAAAAGACATTAACTGTACCCCTGTATCTTTTTGCCTGTGGGAGAATTCTCTATGTGTTTGCTACATGGAAATACTTTCATTGTTGCAATTAAGAAATCTGTAATGAAACTGTGGATGAAAACGATTGCAATGGGGTTGAGGAGACAGGGGAGATAACAGTAAATGTGGGCATGCTCTGAAGTCTAATCAGCACCTCATTTTGGTCATAAAATATGGTCATATGGTCACCCAATTCACACCAATGACCTCCTTCCCCCACCACAGCTTTCATGCACATTATTCCATAAACTTTAACTTTGTTATGCAACTTTGTTATATGTAATCTTATGTATCCATCTATTCATATATGTTTCATTTAGATGAAATTTAGATACTCCTGCTGGCTCAGCTATCATGGGGTCAAACTTTATATCTAGTATTTTCTCTCCTCTCTTGGATTGGCCTATGATTCATGGTTTTGAATAAATGTTACTAACTAAGCTGTGTATGTTTTGTAATCTCAGAAAATTCTTTTTGAGAATAATGAAAATGTTATGGCTCTCTATAGTTACCAATATGACTGTGAAAGCAGAGTCTACCATGGGTGTGATATCTTTTTTACATTGTCAGGGGATTTATGCTTTGAGCACAAAGCTACCAATTTTCATTCCACTTATTCATTCGTTTTAAAAACAAATATTTATCAAGTGGCTGAGTATTTAACTTAGGAAAATTCAGAAAAGACAATGGAGATCCAAAATATTGATCTTGGACTCCTAGCCTCCAAAATTATGAAAAAATAAATTTCTGTTGTTTAAGCCACCCAATGTGTGGCATTTTGTTATGGCAGTCCTAGCAACTAACACCAAAACAATGTTACATTGTATATTTTTTTATATTCAACTTTCCCTATGTGTGAGATCGTTTATGAAGTTTCAGTTCTCAGATGTAGAAATGCTGGGTGAAAGGATCTTTATTTTATTTTGACAGATGCTTCCAAATTACATTCTGTTAGGATTGCACTAATTTATATTTTCACCAGTTGTGTGTATAATAAAAAGATAATTTTCCTACATCCCTGCTAATAACAATTTTTGTCTCTGTGGGTCTGTTAGGTAGAAAACGGTGTCTTGTCATTTTAATGTGCATCTCTTTAATTATAAGAGAAGGTAAGCTTATTTTTATATGCATCTTGTTCACCTACATTTTTTTCTATGAACTGCCTATTCATGTCCTTTCCTCAATTTTTGAAGTGTTATATTTTTACGAGTGATTTATAAAAATTCTTTGTATATTAAGAAAATTAGCTTGCATCTGTCAAATGCACCTTAAATGTCTTTCCAGTCTCTCGTGTTTTTGCAAATGCATGTTTCTTATTTATTTTATGTCTTAAAAGCCTTTAATGTTTTTAGGTAGTTAGATTTATCTTTTTTCATTTTGGATCCTTAGGTGTCTTTCCAGTCTCTCGTGTTTTTGCAAATGCATGTTTCTTATTTATTTTATGTCTTAAAAGCCTTTAATGTTTTTAGGTAGTTAGATTTATCTTTTTTCATTTTGGATCCTTAGGTGTCTTTCCAGTCTCTCGTGTTTTTGCAAATGCATGTTTCTTATTTATTTTATGTCTTAAAAGCCTTTAATGTTTTTAGGTAGTTAGATTTATCTTTTTTCATTTTGGATCCTTAGGTTTATAGAAAATCTTTATCAATTTCATAATTATTTTTTAAACTCTTATGGTTTTGTTTTTTCTTTATAGCTCATCCTCTGCAGTATCTGAAAAGCCAGGGGCTCTTTACATACATAAAGTTTTTGTTTCTCATCACAAGTGAATGGAACAAAAGCCAGGAACAGAGAATCAAAAATTTGGGATAAACCCTGGCTCACACACTTCACTTCTTTAGTCTGCTCTAGTATGCACTCTGTTGTCTCATATGCAAAATGCGATACCCCCACAACTCAAGTTTATATGTTGAAGCCCTCACCCCCAGTGTGACTTCACTGGAGATAGGGTCTTTAAGGAGGTAATTTAGGTTAAGTATGGTCATATGAGCCCTAATCTGAAAGCATTAAAAGAAGAGGAAGACAGGCTAGGGAGGTCTCCGTCTCCGCACGCACCCCAGCAAAGGATGTGTGAGAACCTGGGGAGAATGCAGCCATCTCAAAACCAGGAAGAGTTCTCACCTGGAACAAACCCTGTTGGCACCTTGATCTTGGACCTCTAGTTTCCAGAGCTGTGACAAAATAAATTTGTGTTGTTTAAGACATTCAGTCTGTGGTATTTTGTTACGGCAGCCTGAGCTGACTAATACATGTGAATCCAGATAATGTATTTGAGAGGGATTTTGTGTGGTTCAAATTAGATTTGCAAATGAAAGCTTATAAACAAAAAAATATACTACAGCTAACTATGAGTAATATTTATCTATGAGTAATGCTAATTAGTATTAGTAATTATATAATCTTGGATTCAATAATTTGATTAAAATTTGCCAGGGATATGTTAACAGGGTAGGGATAGGCTTGGTGTAGGAGTTTGAAATGATTTATTAGCTAGTGGTTAATGTCTGTCCTCATTGCTATTGTTTGCTGATTCTTTATATCATGTGTAGAGAACCTGCGTAGCTGCAAGATGATGAGTTGAGGAACACTTACATTTTGTCTGTGTTAGACTACTGGAGTATATTTCATTTCAACATGAGACAAATGACCCAAATGATTGAACTCCAAATTATGGAAATAATTATCAAAAACTAAATGATTTTGTTTCCATGCAACACTTCAAAAATTAGAAAATCATTCAAATAAAAGTTGAGAAAACTCATAAAAGTAGATGAAGAGAATTTTACAAGATTTCAAAAATTTAACTAGGCTCAGTTTGCACATTTTCCTGATCTTTTATATTTTAATCCATTAAACCAAATATATGAACATTTACTGTTGTATTATTTTTGAGATGCCTCCCACCTCCCCTATAATCTCACTGTTATTACAAACTTGGAGTTTCTAGGTTTTATAACATGGTTTATTTAAAAGATGGGATTCAGGCCCTATCTTGGAATATAAAAGCTTTTCCCATGGTCGTGGGTGTTTTCTAATTTTTAAAGTAAGATCTGGTTGGCCCTTGATCAAAACTTGAGGAGAAAACAGAAGTTCCATGGTAATCAAAATAAAATTGGGTTCAATTTTTCTCTTTCCACGTAGGCTGCCCTAGAAAATGGTTTGGTCACTGCCGCAGCTGGACTTCCAGATGCAGCAGGCAAGAGCAGCCTTCAGAACATCTGTACGAAGACACTGGCCTCCGGGTAACATAAGGCACTGAGCTGCACAGCTCACAGAGACATGCTCCCCATTTCCTGATTGCCTTAAGGGTGTCCTGGGGTCTATGTGGCCCCAGGTAGGAGGGAGTTCTGTTCATGAAATAAGGACACAGTCTCTTTTGCTTTTCTCTTTCAGCCACTGCCTTTGCTCCACTGTTTTGTTTGTTTGTTTGTTTTTGTGTTTTGTGTTTCTGAGTACTGAGAGCTGCTTGGCTTCTTTCTTCCTCCTGAAAGGAAAAAAAGTCAATTCCAAAATGACATACTTGTCCAGAATCATTTTCTCCAGAAAGTTCAAAACACATTTAAATATGTTCTTGTTTGCATAGGTCTTGGAACAATAGATGACAAATCCTAAGTTTATGAATAGGAACTCCAGAGAAGGCTATCCAGGTATTTTCATGATAGAAAAGTTACAGAGCTAGGCTGAGATGTTTGAATGTTTTTCCCTGTTACCTACCATTACTAAATTCCTGCAACAGTATATTCTTTGTGTTGCTATACTTACAAATCATCCAGGATATTTCTTACAAATTAAAAATTGGAATAGTAAACATAAAGAAAGTAGCTATTATAGGGTCCTTAATAGTGTACTTCCAGAATTTCTGATGGGATTTGGGCAAAGGATGGATGTTATGGTGTTCCTTCCCCCCTGGAAAATTTCTAAAAATACATAAACTAATAAAACTTCACAATGATTTGTAAAGGATGATTTTTAAAATAAATCAAGTTGATATGTGCATGTAGAAGGCATGCACTAGATCTTGATCATTATGTGGGAAGACAGGGAAGGGCTGCGGTCTGGTTGACATATGAGATCCTTGGGATTTTATAAGTCCAGCTGGTGAAGCCATTGCCACAACGACTGGTTGTTTCCATGAGTCATATTAGAGAGAGCTTAGACCAGTGCAGTCATCAAAGAAACTGTATCTTCTGGTTAGTTCTGCTTATAAATACATCACAGCTATGCCTTCCTGGGTCTACAGAACAATTTGATTTTTTCTTTGGGTCATTTTAATGAAATGATGACTTTCAGTTTGTGATTCTTGGCACTATCCCAATTGCTAATAAAAAGAATTAAGAAAGAGACCCTTCAAAATATATACCCTCAGATCCTAAATATCAATATATGAGGAAAAACACCCACTGACTCTCAAGAATGAATATGTTTATGTCTGTGTCTATGTAAATGCCAGCACATGATTTAGAAGGCATTATCCAGACTTTCGGATCAAAGTGTACCTTTCTTAATATGTAAATAGTTCCACCAAGTCAAATGACTATATTAGGCATTGCTGCCTTGTAGGTATCCTGTACAGAGATTTTAGACAAATCTTGGATATCCAAGAAAGACAATGCTAGAAATGGAATTAGAGGGAAGCACTTCTGTGAATGAATGCATAGAGACTTGTGTGATTTGGGCAACTCATTCAGAGTTTTAGGTCTCAGTGTCCAGGAATCCTTCTGGCTTTAATAGTCTCTGTTTTGTAATACCCCAAAGTTGAAATTTTAAATTCCAAAATTATCACCAATTACATAAGATGATCCATATATCCTTGAGCTGTAGGAGGTCAAAATACTAAAGAATGAGATAAGGTCCTTGCCTTCCAGGACTATGCACCAGAAATGATACACACATGGAAACAATAACATAAAGATACAGTTTAAGAACACAAATGATAGTAGAGAGAGTAATTTTAGGGAGTGTAATGTGGCCAGAAAAAAAAATAGTGTAATTCTCAAAAGACAGGTTAGATTTGAATTAAAATGGTTAAATATGATGTGTTCTCACTCAATTTCTTCTTTCCACTTTGGCAAATTTCCCTTACTGTGCCCTTCCTCTCACTAATTTGCCTAGTCCTCTCCAGTCTTTGAATGCTTTCTGGAATTTCTTCTTCTAATGAAAGTTTTTCTTTATGTTATTCCTTAAGACAAATCACAGAATAGAGAAACATACAGCATGTATTTAATTTACTAAATGTTTGTTGATGTTGATGTTGATGGTAAAAACTCATTCAAAAAGGTAGCAGCTAAATAATTAGGTAAACTAATCTATGTTCTGAGTGTTGTTATATTATATATTTTATTGTATTAAGTATATATTATATACAATATATAGTATTTTGTAATACTATACATTGTATTAATTATATATTATATACAATATATAATATTTTATAATACTATATATTAATACTTTTATATATTACATATAATACATAACTAACACTCAGAACAGGTTAGATTAGTCTACCAAATTATGTGTTCTTATTTAATCCATGGTCACAAACAGTGGTCACTACCTCATTTTCCCTGTCATTTAGAAGCTCATTATTTTATATATATAAAATAAATATTAATATAATATATACTTATATAATTATCATATATATTTATCATGTAAATGTATATTATGATTATATAATATTACAATCATTATTACATGGACTATATGATATATAAATATATAGTACATAATTCTATGTTACAATGTAATATAATTACATGTATAAATATAAATAATAAATAAAAAATATAAATATTATATAATTATATACAATCATGTTATGAGATACATACATATGTTATATGTAATTGTAATATAATTATATGTAAATGTACATTTATGAATTGTGATTTTATAATGTTTATGATTATGATAACAATTACATGTAACACATTTTATGTACTTATAATACAATTATATGTAAATAGTATATATTTTTATTGTAATTATATATACACAGTAATTATATGTCTTTCACATTGTATTAATACACATCTTACATGTATAAAATAATAATTCTAGATGATGGAGAAAATGAGGCAGTGACTACCGTGTGCCACCATGGATTCAGTAAGGACACGTCATAGTGTACTAACTTCTTTTCTTTAGTTAGCAAAATTGACAGAAAGATAGAATTTGGAAATGTAGTAGTCTAAAGATTTCCATCAGAACTTTTTAACCAGAAAAAGTGGGAAAGAAGGCTTATAAGTAGATTCTCCTGCTAAACAACTGAGCATTCATCAAGGAAACCCTAATGGGGGGTTCTAATAGAATATGCAGGACCCTATGCTCAGTTCTGTCCTCCTCCACATTTTAATTGAAGAGTCGGATTAAGTTATACAAAATTCACTTATTAAATTTTCAGATGTTTTGAGGCTGGGAAAAATAATTTATTTTGTTTGCTGGATCTGAAAGATTTTTTAGAAACTTTAAGAAGAAATAAATCTAAGACTGAATTTTACAGAGATAAATATGGAGGGCTATAATTTAAAGCAACAGAAAGACTGATGGTGTTCAGCATTAATGACTTAGAAGTTCAGTTGGTTGAGTTGGTTGTTGATTCTTAATCATTAGAGGTGTGAAGTAGCTTTTAAATAAGTTAACATGCCTGTACAGTATGCAAACAAAGGAGTTACAAGTTGTTTTCTATTCTACTCTTCTTTGGGCTCTTTATTCAGACTGCACCTAAAATATTTTTGGAGCCAGTATATTTAGAAAGTAGACAAACTAGACTGCATTTAACAGAATGTCACCAGGATAGTTGAAGAAAATGGAGATAATTAGATTATGCAAAGAAAGTTTCCAGAAGGAAAATAGTAGAAAAGACACATGTACATTACAATTGCCTTCACAGTGTCTTACCAGAGTAAGGTAAGTTTGTTTATTATCTAGTATATCAAAGATAGAGTCTCTTTCATAGCAAAAAGCAGGCAAGATTGCTGCCCATTATAAAATATTTGGGTTCCCTTCCTCCCTGTGAATGTTCAGGAGTCACATGGCCTTCTTTGCATTGCTTTGTGGGAACTGGGTCTCAGAGAACTAGAGCAAATGCTGATATTTTAGCTGCTGCTATGACCATGAATAACAAACTATCCTTTGACTATGTCCCAAGAGTCTCTTGACTTCTGCCAGTGTCCAAGAAACTGTGGCTAACTTGTTAGTGTGCTAGTAGTATAAAATCTGAGACTTCCACAGTCCTTGAGATCATCTTCTGTTACCATGATTCTGTGATTTCTAAGAATCTGGAGATAAGCCTTAGTGCAAACAAAGTATTCTAATGGTAAGAATTTCAGTGCCTGGTAGTAAGATAAAAAGGTTACTGAGAGCAAGTAAAACTTTGAAGAGACTATTAGGACAAATTTCATGGAAAACCATCTGGTCAGCCTCTTTCATGGCTGATTCTGGTGCAGTGAAAGACCTTTAGTCCACCATTAATGGTGGCAGGAATAGAGCCACCTCCCAGGAAAATTGTATTATTTCACAGTTCTAAGTAAACAATTTTCTGTTTTGGAAATATAACATAACCTGAACTGTATTTGAATCCATACAGTGATTGGTTGTATCACACAAAGTTCCTCTTATTTTATATTATATTGCCCCCAAAATGTGTGACAGTCTATCTGGCAAACACAAGACCTATCAATTTTACTATCAGCACTGGATTATATTTGTTTTCCATGAGAGCTTCTCATTGGTGTGATAGAGATAGTAAAATTATAGTGTAAGCTGTTGGTTTTTTTTTTAACATATCAATTATTTTGGGAAATAGTGATAACAAGTGATTCATTTCCCTGGAATTTCACCAAGACTGGTGCCTGATTATTTTTATAAGTTTCTAAATGGGTTTTCACATTTACAAGTATTTTTTCAAGTTAAAGAGTGTGAAACATCACATGCACCTGAGGATTTATGTACATGTTGACTTACGTGTTTCATGTACACACGTTGAAGTAAGATTTACTGCCTGGTTTCTTCAGGTCTTCAGCTGGGTGAGAGAAAGCTGTAAGGAATGTCACACCTGGCCACTCACTCCACATCTCACACAATTGGGTTTAGGACTGATGCTTCATGCAAGTTTGCTCTCCAAAAAGTAAAGGCATCTGGTGTAACACCCAGAACAGAATGGGAGCAAGAAGTGCCTGGATCTCCTTGTGGACAAGTTGACAGCTGAAGACTGTGTGTGCCAAACCAGTGTCTGGCA